TTGTTTATAAACCATGATATAAGTTCAAATGTGTCATTTTACGGGTAAACTTACGTCTTACTCTATAGTAGGTAATATGGCATGTTTTGCGTACAAATTGTCAAAAATATCATGCATACTAATGTAGTGTTCATTAACACTATTGAACTCTAAATTGCTAATATCAACAAAGTATAGAGGAATCTACATATATTTTCCGCAAAATAAAATGTGAAAGTATACGTGCGTTTGAAATAGATGGATCATATATATAACATTGTTAGAATAGGCGATTTACTAATTTTATTACAATTCTTATGTTATTATTGTTTTCTCTTGCATTACTATTGACAGCATGACAACCTATACACTACTATATATCATATGAATAAACCATGTATTAATTATCACGTATAACTGGTCCTTCAACTAAACTACCCCTAAAACAAATTAGAGACCTTGCCCAAAAAAAATATTTTTATATTCACCAAGTAATAGTGGGAGAAATTCAAAAATAGCTAGATTTACAAGTGGTCATTCAAAAATAGCCACAATTTCAAAAGTAATCGAAATTTAGCCACTTTTCATGTAAAGATAAACCTGAACGAAAACACTATTCAAAATCCGGAAAAATACTCCAGCATAATATACTAGACTGGAACTCCAATCTAATATACTGGAGTTCCAGTATAATATATCGGTCCAGCATAATATACTGCAGTTTGCAACACCGGTGATCCAGTCTCCAATATATTATACTAGAGCCAGCAAAATATACCGGCTCAGCATAATATGCTGGAAGTTCATACACAGGTACACCGAACTCCAATATATTATGATGGACCGGTCTCTTTTGCAGCAAAATAGTGGCTATTTTTCAATGACTTGACAAACACTGGCTATTTTTGAATGACCAGTTCGAAAAATAGTACGGTATAGCCAGTTTTCGGACTGGTCATTCAAAAATAGCCAGCGTTTGCTAAGTCATCTAAAAATAGCCACTATTTTGCTGCAACAGAGACCGATCCAGCATAATATACTGGAGTTCGGTGTACTTGTGTATAAACTTCCAACATATTATGCTGGACCGGTATACTTTGCTGGCTCTAGTATATTATACTAGAGACTGGAGCACTGATGCTCCAAACTGCAGTATATTATGCTGGACCGGTATATTATACTGCAACGAACTCTAGTATATTATGCTGGAGTATTTTTCCGGATTTTGAATAGTGTTTTCATTCAGATTTATATTTACATGAAAAGTAGTTAAATTTCGATTACTTTTGAAACTGTGGCTATTTATGAATGACCACTTGTAAATCTGGCTATTTTTGAATTTCTCTCGTAATAGTATGACTATTAATCAAAAGCACATGGGCCAAAATATACCAGCAGTGATATAGCCCGTTGAGTCTAGGGCACTACCCAGCCCAAGAAAAGCCCACTAATATCCAAACCTAAGATATAAAAACTCGCTTACCTAGGGTTCATGGTACAATCCTTTTGCTGCTGCAATCGTCTGTGGCTTCAGTGTGATTTCTCTCCGTTATCCCCTCTTCTTCCAGCAGCCATGGTATTTTCTCTTCCGATTTCAAAGTTCATTATTACTTCTCATTGCTCTCGAAGTTTCTAATGCATTTTTCAATTTTTTTTTTCCAGATTATTTCAGAGAAGAACCGTAGAGAGATCTCCAAATACCTCTTCCAAGGTCAGTATCTCTGAATCTCTTTACATCCTTTTAGAAATTTCACTTTCTGATGTAGATTTCTTATGTTTGTTGTAGAGGGAGTATGTTATGCGAAGAAAGACTACAACTTGGCGAAGCATCCATTAATCGATGTGCCGAACCTACAGGTGATTAAGCTGATGCAGAGCTTCAAATCTAAGGAGTACGTTCGCGAGACATTCGCTTGGATGCATTACTACTGGTACCTTACAAATGATGGTATTGAGTTCCTCAGGACTTACCTTAACCTTCCATCTGAAATTGTGCCCGCTACTTTGAAAAAATCTGCTAAGCCTCTTGGTCGTCCCATGGGTGGACCTCCTGGCGATCGTCCCCGGTAATTTACCTTTTCATTTTCTCTCAGTTGTTTAAGTTTGCGATTTTTGGTGTGTATTTGTCTAAAAATTAACTCTGTGTGTGCTATTCATTGGATATGTGCAGTGGACCACCAAGGTTCGAGGGTGATAGGCCAAGGTTCGGGGACAGGGAAGGGTATCGTGCTGGCCCAAGAGGTCCGCCTGGTGAGTTTGGTGGTGAAAAAGGTGGAGCTCCAGCTGACTATCAGCCTGCTTTCAGGGTAATTCTTCTTTTTTTTTTTCAAAAAGTTTTAACTCCTGAAAATATTTCAGTTTATTTCGCTTATCAATTGTGGTATTTAACTTATTTCCTTGTTGTTTGATGAAAATGAATTAGTTCATGCTGATTATATCAGGATTATCATTTTGTTATTTGTTTGTGTATTAGTTCATGTTAATTATATCAGGATTATCATTTTGTTATTTGTTTGTGTATTAGTTCATGTTAATTATATCAGGATTATCATTTGTTGCATGTTTGTGTTAGTTCATGTTGACTATATCAGGATTATCATTTGTTATGTGTTTGTGTAGAGGAAATGGGTTGATGCTAATGTTTACATTGTCGCCTTCTATATGTAATAAGCGGTAGAATTCAACTAAAGATCTCTTAAGAAATTGCCATTTTTTCCTTATGATTGAAGTCTATTCTGCCAATGTTACCAGACTTGCAATTGTGACCGTCCTTTTTTGTTGCCATGTTATTTATAAACTGTTGTTTCATACGGTTGACCTTGTTTCCTGTAAATGCATTATGTTAGTTGCCAAGTGAAACAAACTTGAAGCTTGGAGTAACAATGATTATCTATGAATTCTCTTGAATTTTGTGGCCCTACTTTTGTTTAACCCCATTTTCCTTTTCCCAATGGTAATCCTCTCAAATGCTAAACTTTTACATGTCGTCCATAGCTATGCTTATGATTTCAAAAAAGGAGAGGAGAAATCTTCTCCAGTGTGGGTTTGGTTCTATTTTATTTTGCTTTGTTGGGTATTTGCATCGCTGTGAAAGGACCTAGTTTCTGCAGAATTTCATTTTAAGGGCATCTTACCTGCTCAGAGATGTATCTTAGGTTTTAACTCAAGTTTTCTGCTATTTTTTGGCTGAGTTGTTTTGTTTTTTGATCACACTGGTGTTCAGTTCCAACTTTTGTTACTGTTCTTTATGTAATTGATTAATGAATAAATATCCATTCATTTGACATACTGTTCATTAATTTATTATGTCTATAGTTGGTATAATATATTTAGATGAATTTCCATTTGAGTTGTTTTTTTCCAAGTCTAAACTATCATGCTATACTTGCAGGGTTCTGGTGGAAGACCTGGATTTGGTCGCGGATCTGGAGGTTTTGGTGGTGCACCCCCTAGTTCAAGCTTCTCTTAAATCCTTGCTATCTTAGGCTAGGTGGTTGTTGCAATTTTGATTATCAGATGTTGGAAACACTTGGTTGTTCATTTTCTTGTCAAACTTAAAACTTCAAGCTGGGCAAGTTTATCTTTATGGATCTTTAGAGAACTATAAGTTTTACTTCTGTTTCTTGACCGTTTTTGATTTTGTGTTATTGAGATATACTTGCAATTCGTGTTATTTGAAATTGAAAGTCTCTGGACAATGCTAGAAACAGCATTAGTTTGTAGTATCATTTTCCCTGCCAAAACATTAAGTAGGGATATAATACTACTATTAGGGGTCATTTGGTACGCTGACTAAATAATTTCGGGATTGCAAGCTTGGGATTGTAATCCAATTTAATCTTACATCTTATCTTGCCTTATTGCTCGTACCCAATGACCCCTTAAGTTATCATTTTCAAGCTGTTACTTTTCTACTGGACCTTCTATCCTGAACAAAGTCTGGTAGCCAATGGGATGTGAAATAATAAAGGTATACGCATCCGAATTCTTTTACTTGTAAACTTCTGCCAATATTTTTCCAATTGAAGGTTTTGTCAAAAACCCAGCTGCTGCTTATTTCAGTTTATTTTTAACTTCAAAATTTCTGCTTCCAGCATCTTATTATTGTCCAGCTGTTTGGAATAGCTTATGTTTTCCACAGCTCTACTTGATGGAGCTGATTAAAACTAAAAGATAAAGGGTCACTTGATGGAAATTTAATTTGCCCTCTGTTAAACCAACTAAAAGTTCCCAAAATAGCTAGTTTTACATACTTTCTCGGACATCGTCCTCAGGTCTGTCATGTTACAACTTTTCCCTTGCATCGCTTCATCGTCTTATAAATTGATTTCATTCAAAACCTTTGTCAAGGGTCTTCTATTCCTTTTTACCTTTCCTATGGAAGTGTCAATTTTAGTTTCCTTTTTAAGGTAATGGTTGTTACCCCCCGTACTTTTGTGTGTGTACCAGAAATGTCGGATTTTACTTCTCCTAATTTTGGTTAACTAAACTTCAGGCAATTAGATAGGAGTGGCTGAAGTTAGTTGATATAGAATATTTGGCTATTGCTCAACTTGTTGAAGGGAAGGACTTGGGATTGGGATTCAGATTGATTAAGAAAAGCGGCACTCGACTTTTTGCCCCCTTCATTATGTTATCTTCTTGAACTTTGCACGACGAGAGTCGCTCGTGTGATGCTAATTTAAACTGAATCAAAACCTCTGGCCAGTAACTATTATTGCATTATTGGTGAAACCGTGCCAAGATATATCAGTCGTGAACTAATCGATATCTCCATTGGATCAGTAACTTATACAGTAGCTTTAGGCCGTCAAAACTATGCAGAAAATACAAAATTTTAAGAGCCAAATATAAAACAGTTGAGCTATTCCGTAACATTCACATAATTTTCCAGATTACACTTGGTGAAAGAATATAAACAATAAGTAGATTTTCATTTTACTCAAAGCGGCGTTTCACAGGAATACTTAACCAGTTGTGGGATTCAAACAAACGAAAAAAAGGAACGCAGCTGTAGAAAATAGTGAACGTTAAATAAAATAACCAAAAAATGAGTTATAAGTTCCACCATACGATCAAAAGAAAAGAAAAGAAAGGAAAAAGAAGAAGGAAAGTTTCACTCTACAATCTAGTAATCCAAAAATAAGTAATGTCTTAGCACTTCAATCTACAATTCATCGTAAGACTCCTCATCATCTGCTGAATTTGCAGAACTTCCACTACTCTTCTCATAGGCCTGCCTTATGACAGGATTGCATACATCTTCCAGCTCTTTCATTTTCTCATCATAGTCTTCCTTCTCCGCGTTTTGGTTATCATCCATCCAGTCCATAGCTTCCTTAAGAGCGCTCTCAATCTTCTCTTTGTCATCAGAATCTATCTTCTCCGCGAGCTTGTCACTGATTGTGTTCTTCATGTTGTAAACGTACGTTTCAAGCTTGTTACGGGAATCCACCTTCTCCCTTACCTTTCTATCTTCTTCTGCAAACTCCTCTGCCTCCTTCAACATTCTGTCAATTTCTTCCTGGCTTAGACGTGACTTGTCGCTAGTGATGGTAATGGATTTCGACTTCTTAGCTGCTTTGTCTTGTGCTGTCACTTGTAGAATTCCATTCTCATCAATCTCAAAGCTTACCTCAATCTGTGGTACTCCCCTACAAAATATTTTGAAAAGTTAACTTGAGTCAGAAATTCCAATAATCATAACAAAGTTTGTTTTTCTTTTTGCTACTTCTCAATTCTCATGCTTTTAAGTTAATTTTTGTTCAATTTACCTTGGAGCAGGAGGTATACCAGACAAGTCAAAGCTTCCAAGTTCGCGACAATCCTTTGTCAAGCTCCTTTCACCTTCATATACCTAAAGATATCCATAAGAAAAATAATATTATGTACTAAATCTTACGTCCAAAGAACAATGGCAAACTAAAATCCTGTTTGACATCAAAGAATTGCTGAAGTTGTAGTTATGTTACCTTAATTGATACAGATGTTTGTTGGTCTTGATAGGTGGTGAAAACTTGAGTTTTCTTGACAGGAATCCTACTGTTTCTGGGAATTAACTTTGTCATAACCCCACCCACTGTCTCAATTCCCAGACTTAACGGAGTCACATCAAGCAACAAAAGATCTGTAAAAACATAAAAATCAATACTAAATTATGACTTGATCAGAATATAGAAAACAAAAGGATTTACTTTTGTTGAATCGAGAAAACGATCATGTTACCTTTGGTCTCTTCCCCTCCTTCACCACCAAGAATTGCTCCTTGTACTGCAGCTCCATAAGCCACAGCTTCGTCCGGATTAACACCCTTGTTAGGTTCTTTCCCGTCAAAGAAATCCTTCAATAGCTGTTGCACCTTTGGAATTCGAGTACTCCCACCAACGAGCACGAGTTCATCAATATCCGTCTTCTTCAAATTTGCATCCTCTAATGCCTTCTTGACTGGACTCATTGTCTTCTTGAATAAATCCATGTTCAATTCCTCAAATCTTGCCCTTGTTAATGGCTCAGAGAAATCAATACCATCGAAAAGAGACTCGATTTCAATGCGTACTTGGTGCTGGTTACTTAAGGCCCTCTTAGCTCTCTCACATTCCTTTCTGAGTTTTCCTAGAGCTTTCTTGTCATTACTAATATCCTTGCTATATTTCCTTTTAATCAACTTGATGAAATAGTCCATTAGTCTGTGATCAAAATCCTCTCCTCCTAAGTGAGTGTTACCATTGGTTGCTAGGACCTCAAAAACACCATTGTCAATGCTAAGTATGCTAACATCAAATGTACCACCACCAAGATCATACACCAATATATTCTGCTCTTTCCCTTTCTTGTCCAATCCATAAGCTATTGCAGCCGCGGTAGGCTCATTTATTATCCTTACTACATTCAACCCTGCTATCGCGCCAGCATCCTTAGTTGCTTGCCTTTGAGCATCATTAAAATAAGCTACATACAAACAAAATTACTCGAACAGCCCAACAAAAAAAAAACGACAACGTGTTCATGATTAATGAGGATTTAATATCATAGTTGCAGCAACTATATGAAAAATATACCTGGAACGGTGATGACAGCGTGTTTAATCGACTTCCCTAAATATGCTTCAGCTGTTTCCTTCATTTTCTGCAAGATCATAGCACTAATTTCTTCTGGACTAAACTTTTTAACCTCACCATCTTTAATCTTTACTTGTACATAAGGCTTGCCATCTTTGTTCACAACTTCAAAAGGCAACATCTTAATAATTTTTTGAACTTCTGGATCATCAAACCTACCAAACAACAACAACAACAAATTAAATCAAGATTCCAAAAATCTCAAACAAACCAACTTTAAAAAATTAAAGGTGATTATAAACTTACTTTCTTCCAATGAGCCTTTTAACATCGTATATTGTACGTTCCGGGTTAAGAGCTGCTTGATTCTTTGCAGCTTCTCCAATTAATCTTTCTGTATCAGTGAATGCAACCCATGAAGGGGTGATTCGATTCCCTTGGTCGTTCGCTATGATCTCGACATTATTCTCCCCTTTGTATACACCCACACAAGAATATGTTGTCCCTAAATCAATTCCAATCACTGTTCCAAGATTCTGTTTCTGATTTTTCTCAGCTGCTAGTGTTACTTCTAAGCAAAACTCTTCCAGAAAATAAAGAGAAATTCGTCAGCAGCTTCATCATGTAGTAAACTTTAACTTATCTCGAAGGAAATCCAAATTTGAATCAGTTAAGAACACAAGAGCAATTAGAAATACCAACAACCTAACTACAGTTAAATCTATATCAGGAAAAATTGTAACCTTAATTCGGTAACTGTAAAGCTATCATTCCAGGTGAACACGACAAGCTTTCAACAAAATTTTATGACTTTAGACAGAGTCTCACGTCGGTAAAATACAAGGGAAGCCGAATATATAAGTTAATAAGCCTTAGACCCTAGTGACGCATTTTAAATCCATAAGGGCCTAAGGCTAGAGCAGACAATATGACTAGCGGGCTGAGCTCTTGCAAAAACATTGATATTATGGAATATTACGAGTTGATTGTGCATGAAAATTTCTACTTTTTTTTGGGTGTAATTAATTCTCTCTTTGGTGACAGTTAGAGAATATAAGAATATCAAAGGTAATGCTAGTTTAAAGAACAAGAAGAATGATTAGTAGCAACATAAGATGAAAACAGAGAAGAAAAATATAGACATAAGCATCAGTATGCATACAAATAAAAAAAAAAGGATAGGTATTTCAGCTGTAAGACAAACTTGTGCATGCTTAACAACAAGAATAACAGGAGCTAAAAAACAATAACACATGTAAAATATGAAGAAGAGGAAGATAATCACCTGAAACAAAAAGAAGCAAAATCAAGAATGCCAAGTTTTTGAAATCCTTTGAACGTCGACCCATTCTCCTTCTTCTTTTAATGAATGATTTTGATGTTATGAATAATGAAGGAAGAGAGAAGGGTGAAGAGGCTATATATAGTTGAGGGTTGTGACCGTAGAGTAAAATCCAGTTCGAGTTGGTTTAGGTTGATGACAAGAAGCTAGAGTGTTCTCTCCAATAGTAGAACAACTTAGACGAGGATTTGATATGCTGTTCCTTTGCTTCAATAGTATTTTACACATCAACCTACCAATTAAAGTTAAACACGTGGCTATCTGTCGGTTAATGAGTCCCGCGAACGTTCCTGATTTATTGAGTACTTAGGATAATTTAAAGTGCTTTATTTCCACAAATAAAGGATAAAAGTTAAATTATAGATTGCCGCTTTCTTCTTTTTCTTTAAATATATTAGGCACTTTGAGAGATAGATTAAGAGGGTGTTTGGCTAAGCTTATAAGCTGGTCAAACTGGCTTATAAGCAATTTTTGGCTTATCTACGTGTTTGGTAAAATTAAAAGTGCTTATAAGTTAAGTGCTTATAAGCCAAAAATAAGCCATAAGCTGATCTCCCCCAACTTATCAAATTTCAGTTTATAAGCACCTTTGACCAAGATATTTACTATTCTATCATTAAAATACTTTTTTTAAAACAAAACTCTTCATATGTCTAGTTCTTCAGCTGCTTATTATTAATTTTAGTACTTTTATCCAAACACATAACTGTTTATTTTTTAAATCAGTTTTAGCACTTAAAAATGTTTTTCAGCACCTAATGCTTATCAGCTAAGCCAAACGGGCTCTAAGGAAGTAATTTCCGTTAAAGACCCAATCTTAGTAGGTTACTAAGTAGTGAGTCTCAATTTCAATTTATGTAGATCCCAATTTACAAGTTCCAATCGGTTTAGGAGTCAAATTTTGTTTCACTTTCAATTTAGGCCCAGAGGAATATCTTTGTAATAAAATGCTTAATTTTTGTAAAATTACGTGTTTATACTTCATTGCCTAAAATTGTTTTAAATATTTTTTTAATCAAATAAAAATTTAGCGTCTGTAACTCGATCCGTTGTTCACTTCCGCCGATAATTATGATTTAATAGTGTGATTATGAATATAAAAGCTGGATATAAATCCATATATTTATGAGAATTGACATAAAATCAAGGTTTATTGGCATTTATTAATTACTAGTTTTAGTGTACGTGCGTTGCACGTGTATTCTGCGCCTATCGATAAAAAAATATATGAAATATTGAATAAAAATAAATTATGTGTAATAGCAATTGATGTAGAGATAGATATAACAGTCATTTAAATGAAAAAAAATACTTTATCTAAAAATATAAATGTACTGACAAAGTTAAATTCTAGGGATAAATTCATACTTAGAAGCACTTTGGCAATGCTTATTGGAAAATGTACTTGTTTTAAAAGCTTCTACTACTATTCGAAAGCACTTCAAAACACCTTAACTCTCTAAAATAAGTATATTTAAAAAGAAATATTACCTTTGACTTCCCAAAAAACTTGGTCAAACAGGCTCGCCTACATATTTTGGATGTGAGTAATGTGGCAGAAATCGACCTTTTTTACTTTATTTAACTCAATTTAAAGTTTGATCGTTCAATTCGTAGAGCCGTCAACAATCCACTAAAAACCAAACTACATTATCTTAACGAATCCATTCTACGGGCTACCATAGGTTTGATAATTTTGAGAAAAGAAATATATGGACATATAAGTATATAACGGAAATAATTACGACATTAAATTAAAAGGAACAAAAAAAGAAAGGAGAAATTAAAACATAACCCTAAAATTTGTGAATTCTAATTAATCTAAAAGTGTATGAATCTTCTTTTATAAGATTCAAGTGTCGTAGTATATTGTGATACAACATGCAATCTAAAAGAATATCACATACAAATACTACAAATAGAGTGATGTAATGAGTATTACAACATGAAATATCATCAAATCAAGCAATTCATAAATTTGATTATGAATGCGCAAAATTCCAAGTTTCCAAAGTACCTATACACTGAAATACAGTAAAAATAATATTACTATGGTATTACACGTAAAAACTTAGCAGAGTTTATGCCAATAAACACATCGCAACCTAGAACAAAAACCGCGTTATATAAATTAAGTGGGCGTTTGGACATAAGAACGGTAAAATTCCAAAAAAAAAAGTGAAATTTTTTTAAAGTAAAAATGGTATTTGAAAATTAGAGTCTGTTTGGACATCAATACAATTTTGGGCTGTTTTTGAAGTTTTGTAAGTAATTTGAGTGAATTTTGAAAAACAACTTTTTGGAGTTTTTCAAATTTTCAAAAAAATTTCAAAATTCATCTTCAAATGAAAATTGAAAATCTTATAGCCAAATTATGAGATTGTTTAGACTATTAAGAACTTGTTTCCGGTGTTAAGTAAATTAAAACTTGTACATATAAATATCATAATTGGATACAATTTGTATGCCCACGAGTTGTTTACATTCATCGGTTTCTGGGGCAAATTTCTTGTGTCCTTTAATTTTTTTTATTGTACTCTTTGTTTTTAATTATAGATACATCACTATGCAGAAGGTGAATTAAATCTTATTTCTTAAATAGCATAGTTCTTTCTAACTTTTAAATGTCTATGAAATATTATCAGGGTATATGTGTGTTCATGAATGGTTTTTGGTACGATTTGTTGCATAATGAGTGCGAACTGCGATAAGACGATACTGATTTGATACACAGGAATTTGCTTGCAGCAACATTTATTTTTTATATAGTAATCTTCTCTATTTTTCTTTTTGGATGCTTATAGATGACCAAAAGTACGCAGCAGAAATTGAGGAAATTTTAGGACCTTCCTTTTGATATGTATATTTTGATGGCTTAACATCTATATAAATTAAACTCAATTATTGTCTTCTTTTATTTGGCACTTGTTATAAATGTAATCGTACTTGAATAACGTACAAGTGAAGAACTTAAATAATTATAAAATTTTCAATCATCACTCATGAGAGTCGAGATATATTATTTATTATTTTCAATGACATATACTTTTTAAATTTTATTTTATAATTCAAATATATTATTTAATAATATTTACTTGCCTCTTTAACATTGTGTAATTAATGTTATGAGGTAGCATAATGGGATAAAACCAATTAAATTCCTCGTATAAAACTTAGAAAAAGTATTAATTAATTAATTAATTAATGAGTTCCATAGAAATATATTTTCTTTACATAACTTGTTTTTACTTCATTAGACAATTATTAGGAGTATGAGATTTGACTTCCGTAAAAATCAATTGATTTCCTTGTATAAAACTTAGAAGTATTAATTAATTAATTAATTAATATAAGGAAATAATAATAAAACTTTTATAAATTACAGATACAATGTATGTGCAAAGTAGGACTCGTACAAGTTAAAATAGGAAAATATTCAGTAGTCAATATTTTAGTTGATTTCAAACACTTAAATATTAGAAAAAGAACTAAATTACTATTTTGTCTAGTGCGAAATCTATTTTAAAAGGATAAAAAAGACGAACGGTATTTTGCTAAGGGCCTTCGTGCTTTTAGTATAGTGTATAGATAGATAGATTAGGCTGTTAGGTATTGTAATACGACACATAATAATATAGGGATTGTTATATAATGCAAATATAACAACGACGAAACTGTTATATAAGAATTATTTATTTTAAGGGCGTTTCTATCTTTAAATATATTTATTCATGTACTGCTAAAACATGTATTCTCATTTCCCGTTGTATCTCAGATAAAATAATATCTTATTGTCGATACAAATTATGCGGGTATTAAGTTTTATAAAACCAGTCAAATGCATTACTTAATGTAGAGATGTTTTTTTTATGCGGCCAACCAGACGACCCCTTAATCCTAATAGCTTCAAATCCGAGTAAAAATGTCCGAATGGCCACATTAGTATCTAAATATAGAAAATGTTCGAATGGCCACATTAGTATCTAAACTAAAGATGGCGATATTCTCTGATATCCCGTTCAGAGAATCCATTTTAGACTAAAATCCACTTTATCCCCTTAACTTTTAAGAGTCGGGAAATAATATCTCCTCTTATATTTTGAAGAGATTTTTACATACTTATACACTATTGAAAATTTTATTACCCTTCCTACTCAAATTTCATTTTAATTACCTCCTATATACAAAATTACCAATTATATACATTTTTAGGATTTAAGAATAATTAATCAATTCCTGCAATCACTCCCACTCCCTTCACTTTCCCCTCTCTATATCTCGCTCCCCCCACGTTTCTCTCTCCACATCCCACCCCTCCCCCACGTAACTTGTACAGGAGAGCAATAATTTCACCATTGATAGCTATTAAAAAGCTTTGAAACTTTGCATTCGAATTTGAGTTTTCAAAAAATATTACTTGTTTGAATTGGGTGTTGTTGCGAACAATCTATGTCTATCTCTATCTCTCAATCCCTAATTCTAGTAATGTAAAGCAAAGGAAAAGAGCGCAGTAATTTCATCATTGACGGCCATTAAGAAGGGTGATAATAGGCTAGATTTATGTAATTTGGCGATTGTTTATGCCCCAACTTAATTATTTTTCAATGTTATAATATAGTTAAATGATGAAAAATGGGCTCTAATTGTGAATGTCACACGTTGCAGGAGTGAGGAGCTTGTATGAGGCATTAAAGCTGTGATTGGAGCTACATTGAAACAAGAAAAAAAAACCCTAGGAGCTGAGTACGCGAGAAGACGAGAAAAAGAATAGTTAAAATGAAGGCCTGGACTAGCGCGACCATTAGTGCGTCCACTAGCGCGACCGCGCTAGCCCAGATGGTCGAGGCAGAATGGTAGGGCATTAGCGCGGCCGCGCTAGCCCAGTTCCGGAATATTAATTTTCAGGGGTAAACTTGGAAGTTTGGGGGAAAAATTCACTTAACCTATAGAAGGTCAAGCTCGCCCAAGAGGAGATTATGCAGCTTTTGATAGCTTAGCGCAAGAAAAGGAGAGGCAAGAGGTAAGGAGGAGGATTCAACATCAAGTTCTTCCTTTCTTCCTTTTGTTTTTATGATTTGTGATAATTTGATTATTGTTGTGATGAACACTAGTATGAGTAGCTAAAGATTTAGTTTAAGGTTTGATGGAACCTATTGAAGGATGAACTTCTTGAT